TTACATTCCAGAAACATTCTGAACCGAAAGGAATTAGAAATCGTGCATTCAAACGAACACGTTTGGAAACTTTTAAGCAGTTTCGAACGTACGCGGCGCGAAAGTTTAACCTATCTGCTTGTGGAAAATAAAAGAGCCTAAGGATGTATGTACGCAGAAAAGTACAAAAAGGTTATTATTCCATCAGATACAACATAAAAATATGTATATTTATGTATAAACTCAAATATATAACATAACCGTTTCAATGAAATAAATCATTTATTGGTGGAAGTTGGAGGAAAGCTTGAATTTGAGGCAAATTAATAATTACTAAGTATTTGCATTTCAACACCCCGCGGCCTTCCCTCTCCTGTCTCCTTCCCGGAAACAGTTGATGTGACGAGCTTTCAATTGTGTGGTGTAAGTGACAGCGATACAGTACGAAAAAACTGATGAATCAACTAATTTTTATGCTCAAGATGATGTCGAGTATCATTGAAGTCTTAAATTAACCAAATTTTATGTCTTACAAAACATAAAATCTTTTTTTGATAGGTTTGATACTCACATCCGATTTCTGAAACGCATGTCAAATATTGAATTAGTTGACAGACTGTCATAATTAACTATTTGTTGAGCAACTGTGGGTTTCTGAAAAGATATTTACCGAAAAATTAACGAATCTACTGTTAAGGCAGGATTTATTTATTAGTCTGGCCACCCTAGCTAAAACCAGTCACTTTCATTCGATCATTCATGTTTTGTTTCTGTCTAACGCATAGCTTTGTCCCTATCTTTTGACAACTTATAAGTGACTTTTATTTAGAAGTCAGAAAAATAGAAGCGATTGTGTCTACCGAAAACATTGAAATTTATTTTCATTTGTTAAGTTTTTACTTAATATGTCACGAAAAAACTATACGGAGCGAGAAAAGAGGGAGCTTTTAACAATAAGTAAGTACCTAATAGGTGTTAAGGATTCATTAAGAGATAAGTTTAAAGAAATAGGTATATTGACAGTTGCATCACAATACATATATGACAACTTAGTATTTGTAAAAAAAAATATTAATTTGTTTACTAAAAATAGTGAAATACATACATATAATACTAGAAATAAAAATAACTTAACTTTACCTGCTACTAGGCTCCACAAAATCAATAATTCGTTTAGAGGTCTTAGTGTTCGCTTTTACAATAAAGTTCCAAGCAATATTCAAGAGTTAAGCATGACTAAATTTAAATCGACCATTAAAAAATTACTAGTTAAGAAAGCATATTATAAAGTGTCTGATTATATTACAGACAAAAATGCTTGGGTATGAACTGTTCCAACCATTCCAACGGGTATTTCTATATGATTTAAATTATGAATTATGTGTTGACAATACTATAATTAAACTGAAAGCTGTATATAAAGTTAATAACTTAAGTAAGATTACCAGACTGTTTAAGAATATTTGATTGACAAAACGGCGTGGTCGTGATTTCTCCTTTGCTTTGTTTTGTAATTGTTTGTTGTGTCTTACTGGTAAATGACCTTAATTTAAGTAAATATGTTGTAGTTAGTATGGGTAGTTATGGGTAGTCATGCTCTCATAATAGTCTCTTCGGCGGTGTCGTGTGAGGCGGGTCGTTACGTTCCCTAAAATATGGTTGAGCGAAGCGATGGCTGGTTCATGCGTCATGCTCGTGAACGGGTGCTGCCAGCGGAGATGAGTCTGCCCTAACTTCCTTAATATTGAAGTTAATGTTTAGTCACACTGAATATAAATAACACTATTTGTATTTATACTGTATGACACAGCAATCAAAATGCAGGTAAACAATTAATGTATATTTAATAATTATGTAATGAAAAGTGACTTCATGAATCACCTCTGAAGTCATTTTTCAATTTGACGACTCTGTAAATAATAAAACAGGGAGAAAAAAACAGCCCTTGCTGAGTTTCTTGCCGGTTCTTCTCAGTACAAGGTCTCCCGCCGTAGATTTACGAACCGATGGCGTAGCTTCTAGACATTCATATGTGCTTGTAACAGCCTAAACTGAATAAATGATTTTGATTGATTGATTGATTGATTGATAGGTACAAATCAGTTGTTCAAATCAAGCTTTCTAATCTATACAAAGAAACCGATTTGCTTTTGGTATTTAAAATTTGTAAATATGTATATTGATAATATATATTTCAATGTAGGTACAAAGCAATAATAGAAAATAAATCTACCAATGCAGTGACGGTGGAAAAAAAACGTGACTTGGAAAAAAATTGAAGAATTTAGAAATAAAAATTAAAGAATTGGAATTTACTTCTAAAGCAAATAAAAAGTAAAATAATTATAGTGTAAATCTGATATAAACTACAATATAAAGATGTTTGTTTGTTTGTTTGAACGCGTTAACATCAGGAACTGCTGAACTGAATTGAAATATTCTTTTTATGTTGGGTTAGCCATAATTCTAGGAAGGCTTTAGTGTACAATAATTGTTCGTTTTAAGTTCCAGGTGTGTCAGATTTCCCATAAGTTGATGGAAAACAGATTTTGAAATCCTGTAGCGATCCTTAAATTCTTCATCATTGTAATGAATTACAGGATTTATTCGTTTCCGGAACTGGCGAGTTGGTGCCAGATCTTCCTCGTCACTAGATAGGGATATATCGTCAACAGATAAATCTGACAACATTTTTTACTACCACTACAACAATCCTCTGACCAAAATATCAGTAAAATTTCTTTTGACAGTCTGTTAATTGATCAATTTTCACCAATTACTTATTAAAACACAACAAAACGTTAACATGCAGTTAACATACAAAAAAGCTTTCCGGAAACCGAAAACTACCGCAATCGGCCATTAATTCGAGATTTGACATTTGCAACAACAAATCATTGACAAACTGTCACTTGGCTCATTGAGAAACCCAAAGTGCATTTAAATAGAGATTAACAACTTGTTACGTAATTTTTTCGATGACATGCGTTTCAGAAACCGGGTGTCAATCACTCAGAAGCTGCTGAACGAGTTGAGGATTCTCAAACACTTATTATAACGCACGCAAAGTCGCGAGTGAGAGCGATTTATCACTATATAGCGACTTGTCCGAAGAACAGAGTCGATATGATCAAAATCGGGATAAAAATCTAGATGAGATAATAATAAACTGTACAGTTTTAAAAAAAATCGTATCTTATTTAGTTTTAGAAACAGAGAATCGAATAACGTTCAATGTGGCATTTGCTCCGCATTAAAATACACGAAGAGTCCATGCGATGGCGCACGTGCAGTTTGAGCTGCCCGTTTGTCAGATCCACCGCTGTTTGTATATTTGAGTCTCGCACTTAACTTTTTACTTCTGTACCCATATCCGTTATAACTGTTATGTGATTGCTGTTATGGGCAGCGTTTGAGAAACTACGCGATGTCATCTAGTTCAAAATATCTCAGTGCCTCAAGATCTGCGAACAGTGCCTGTTGCTATTGATGACACACGGAGCTGAGACGTAGTCGTTGTATGTCCACAATAACCTTTTTTATCCTTTTTTACGAAAAATAATGACTTATTTACGAAGCGATTTTAAGCAATATAGCATTAGTCATTAGTTTATCCAATGAAGTGCCTTATATACATTGTGCATTTAATATAGATTAATATGGCGCTTTACAGCATGTAATTGAAATAAATATTTTGGAAGATATTACAGATTTAAATTAAAATATACGGACTTTTAGTCTACACCGAAGCGAAGCGAGGGCGGATCACTTGTAGAACATAAAGTAAACTCTAGATTGCACTTACACAATCTCTTTTTGATGATATTAATATCCATTTTCATTCACCCGCTAACACGTTGATCGCACCCCAGAAACTGTTGTTACTCGTCTCCACAACTTCGGACTTTTTTCCTCACGGTTTGAGCGAGCGCAAAAGTATTAAGGATTTAGAAAAAAAAATCTCGTATTCCTTGCCTGTTAATGACAAAGTTTGTTTGCGAGCGAACCTTTCTAAGCAATGCGATCTTTTTAGATTTACGTGTACAACGAAAAGATTTGGTACAACAGGAATAAAAGAGGAAAATTTTGTACTTTGAGAAAGATATCGACGTATTATATAATATATACGTAGGTGCGTAATGGTCTAATTTATGATGGATTATAGCGGGATATTGTATACTTATCGTTTTCAAAGAATTTCATTTAGTTTAAATCTGCTTTGTTTTGATGTTTTGTATTCATATATTATACTTATTACTTAGTACTAGCGATGTGGATAGGTCTGTGATTGTGTTTAAGTTTAATGACTTCAAGACTGTGGTTTTTACAAAAAAAAGGTATATTTCATTTACGTGGTGAACAAAGAGTGCGTAGAATATTTTTTACAACTCTTTATACCACTTAATTGGAAAAGAGACGGGAAAATGAACTACCTAATGGTGTCCCGTACCTTCCCGTCCCGGCCCGGCATCCGGGTCAAGTCTTATTAAATGGGACGGAAGCAGGCACTCCGGGTAACTGAGAACACTTCACTGCTTTTTGGGCGATATTTTTGCTTTTATTAACCCTGATTTTGTTCTGCGTTTTCTTGAACGTTGAACAGGTTTGTAGTATTTGAGTTGTAATACCTTTTTTATGTGAAAAGGCCAGTAAACAACACCAAGGTTGCCACCATACGTAGTCTACAGATAAGATAAACGAATCCTATAAAAACAAAACAAGAAATATTCTAAAGTGTTATTTTAGTTGCGCTTTTTTTTATCACTTTGGCCAGAAAAGGCCAATACACTTTTGCTTCAACAACAGAATTTTCCCATAGATAAGAATAGCCTACAAAATAAATGATAGCTAAGTAGCGTGGGAACAAAAACAACCACCAATAGGATTGCAGAGAGCTAATCGAATCAAGCGGAATCAGGTAATCCCATTGGTTAAATTTTTCCTAGCGCGCCTCTTACTTATCTCGCACATTTTTAGTAGAAACGAGGCCTCAAAAAAGGATGTTAAAAGGATATACGTACTGCTCCAAAGAGTTGCGAGTAGAAGTAGCAAATCAGCGCCATCGGGATACAGTAGCTCCATACGAAGATGCAGGCGACGAACACCTTCGTATCCTGGTCGTCGGTGAAATAGTCAAACGAGCAGGTCGTCAGAAAGCCCTCTGGAATCCACAGAAAGAAATTACTCCACCCCTTGCTATAGTCGATATAGTCAGATCGAACAATCTTGATAATCTGGATCGTAAGTATTTCACAATGTTTGGATTTTTGGAAATGCAAATTCATCAGTGCAATTTTAATAGGTACTTAATTATACACCCTCAAGACCCCTATTAAAGATTTAAAACAAATCGGACCTGGCAACACTACTGTGAAGTCTAAAGTGATAGAAATATTAATATACGATCCGTTTTTGTTCACGTACTCTTGTATTGTGAAGGTATTGCATCGATCAAGACCTTAGAGCGTAAGATCAAGACCTTCATAGGAACAAAATAACATCATTCGATTAACAAATCCGATTACTCACCCGATAATCAGCAGCTTATTTGCGTAGACAATGCGCTGGCGGACGGATGCCAGCAATTTGCAACACAATTGCATCGGTTAATCGTCCAGTTAGCTCGTTACAACGTTTTATTACGCGTCCGCAGATGGCTGCGGGGTTAGTGTTACAGTTGTGTTCCGAGCCAGAATTAAGCTTGTTGACTGTTGTCGGGCTTACAGACGATTTAAGTAGAACTACGTAAACTGGAATTAGGATTGGGATGTTGTGCAATATCACAGGATTATATTTGTTTAGTTTATTATGTGTTGTAGGATAGTGAGTACATTTTATTAGGAGGCTCTGAGGGTCCACAACATTAAAGATAAACGAAAACCAGGCGGAGTTGATCATATGAATGCTTGAGATTTCGACCTTGTTTTAAGTACGTTAAGGTCCTAAACGTAGACCCAAATGTTTTTATTTCATAATAGGCCTTCTGTTACAGAAGCAAGTTAGTGGAGCGCTTTCCTTATCAAACAACAGCTGACAAGAAATAGGGAAAGAAATTTTTCCCCATATTTCTTTCACCAATACCAGTTTTTAATTTCGAGTTAATTAGTTATCTTTCTTCAAGGGGCCAATCTATCTATCTCCATATAGAGCTTATACTTGGAAACGTATTATATAGGCAGACACAAAGAGACGGTAACTACTGTCGCATTTCATATTACCTACGAGTGAACGAAACTTGTTAATATTCGATCTTTACCTATGAAATTAATTCAAAAAATTCTAAAATCATCCCGTTTTCATACCCAAATTCAGGATATACCCTTTCCAATAACAAAAAAAGAAATTATCAAAATCTGACTACTCTGTAAAAAGTTATACGTGGTCATACATAAAAATATATATATACGTGTCGAATTCAGAACCTACTTCGTTTTTTTCTTCGGTTAAAAAACGAAAACAACTAACTTAAAAATTCTTAGCGAAAAAAGAAAAAAATGGACGTGAAATAGCTAAAACGGCAGAATGGAAATTGTATAGTTATAGAAAGACCTATTTAATTATTATACATCCACTTAATTGAACCATTTTCTGCTACATTTTATTTATGTTTTTCGCTTAATCATTAACATTTTTAGTCTGAATTTGATTTTAGGTACTAATACAATAAAAAATAGGAAAATTATGTAACAGAAAAGACAAAGTTTCCTTTGCTTAATAAACGGGAAAAATGCGGTCGGAGTCTAAGCAACCCAGTGTTCGATATAAAATAAAACAGTAAGTACTGGGGAAGCAATCAGTAGGAGGTCGACAAGTTTCTGTTTGCGAAGTCGCCATACTCTCGCAGAGCAAACGGCCTCGCCCCAGCCTGTTTATTGAGAAAACTAAATAGTAAGTAAACAAACTCAGTGGAAATTTATAAACAGGGAAATCCTTTTTGGAAATATCAATGATTTTCATCACACGAGTAAGTGCCTATAAAAAGAAAAGCTTAGACTTTCGTAATGGAGAGTTTGAAAGTCTATTTATGGCAGGTTCGGAAAGCAACCTAACAAATAATTATTATGATTCATAATATATATCAAAGTCGCATATTGCAGTGAATTCGCACGCATAGCGAAGAGTGATGAGCCGATTATAGCCAATAATGAGTTGATTATATTGGAGAAAAAGAAAATCTTAATAATGTAGAAATTTAGAAAAATATAATAAAACAAAGGACTATCATCAAGGTCGCTGCATCATCTTTGATTATTTCTCGAAGAATCGCACAATTTGTGATCTTTCAGATCCAGCAGCCAAAAGGGATATTATCATTGATATCCTAACGCTTGCAGATCTGAGCAGTCTGGGATAACGGCACAACATGCCTTTCGAACATAGAGCAACACAGATAAGCAGCCATAGCTAAATAATACTCGTACTATTCAAATAATTGTGGCATTTTTTGCAGGGGGGGAGGGATAGGGTAGATTGTACTTAGTTTGCCCCCCCCCCCCCCCCCACAATGAATGGCCCCCTTGTATTTACACAAAAATATAAAGTTTAAAATTTAAAAAATACTGAATACAATATATTGTTATGATTCTTTAACGGCAATTCTTTAATATTTAGTAAATAATGGACCTCTACAAATGGCTTTTCTTTTTGAAAAAACAAGTTTGGTAGTCCCCATTTTTACGGGTTTGATTGAATTTTATTGAATAAAACTAGTTTTTTACGGTTTAATGCACGAAACTTTATTTATTTATTGACGTTTCGCAGCCTGTAAAGGCTGCGTCGTCAGAATCATTTTTTTGTTTAATTTTGTCGAACTACCTTCGAAAGACTTTTATTGAGCGTTCGGTTATTTCATTATTCGATTTTTAAGTTTTATTGTCTATGTATGAATTTATTACTTAAATTAGTTAATAAAGTACTTTATTTAATAATCTTTTTTGTAATTTTGAATTTATTTATTTGACCCTAACTACCGTAAACTACCACCGGTTCAAAAATTTTGAGACCTTTCTGAGAAGAACCGGCGAAACAAACTCAAGAGAGGCTATCTATCTCCTTCTTATGTTAAATTATGCAAAAAAAAAGAAATAATAGTATCAGTTGGCCTTGCAGTGTGTGTTCGGGGTTGGAATTTTATCTCCTGTATAATGGGTTCCCAAGCTGGTGGTATATACCAACCATCTTCCCTATTGAAATTTGGATATTTTTTAATCTCAATAGCCTCGCGTATCATTCTAGGAACGAATCGCTGCTCAGTTGCAAGGATCTGTGGTTTATCAAATCTAATGTAATGGTTTGGCCCCCCTAATGCATGTTCACACACTGCAGACTGCAGTAGTGCAGTAGTGCTTTGAAAGGGCAGATGAGGGCTAGGCGAAAATTCACCATCACACCCTAGCGACGCAGCTAGCTAGGCAGCTGGACAGGTAGCTAGATGGGCAGTGAGGTGGAAGACCACTGACGGCGGTGGCTGTACACTCGGTTTAAAATTTTGTTTGGTGAGTGTTGGACCCGTGTGCCCTGAACCAAGAGCGCTAGTGATGGACCGGGTGCGCCCGCACTGGGCCCATTGAGCATTGTGACACTTACGGTCTGAGTCCACTCGGCAATGAACCCATATTCAGCATTAGCCCCATTTCGCACTGGGATGATTCTGCAATGGTCCCATTTGGCACTGGGCCTAGTGTGAATTAGTGGATGGTCTGTAAATATTTTAGTCACATCTATTCGAAAAGGGCTAGTTTATTATCTGTTTACAGGGACCAAAATAGAGTTTTAATCCCTAGGGACCCAAATAGTTTGATCCCTAATGACCAATATAACGTTCGAATCCCTAGAAACTAAAATAGCGTTTTCATCCCTAGGGACTAAATGTGATTTAAATTTGGAATCTGGATTTTTTAGTAAAATTTTGAATTACCAAAGAGATCAATCATGAACATTTTATGAACAAGTCACAGAGTAAATAGAATTTTAATAAAATTAAGTTCACATAATTTGCAAACAAGACATACTCGAATTTAATTCTCTTAAAAGCCTGCTCAGACAAGGGACTTTTGTCATTGAACTTTTGGTCCGTCGAAATAGATCGCTTACAACTGTCTGTACTGTAACTGGAAATACAGTATAAAAAATTCCCCCGAACAACCGAGGACATCGAGAGAGACCAAAAGTATACCCCAAAAAACAATTAAAACTCATGTGACTAGGCGCAGCAACACATACAGCGAACTAAAGCCCGCGTTGCGCGCTCGATCTGATTGAAAGAGATGAAGCCAGTATTCTCTTGTGGGACTTCTTCTCTTTTTCTTAATCTTCATGTTAATTACAACACAACGTAATCTGAGAATATTTATTTCCTTAGTGTGCACTTTTCTAAATTTTCGTGCAAGTAAATGTCCGCGCATTGAGTCTTTGACATGTCGTCGGTGGACATTTTGTCAGAGACTTTTTCCTCCGCGGTCAAAAGGCCATCGTCTGCGCAGGCTATACATTACCTAGTTTTTACGCTCAATTCGACAGAGGGGAAAGCTGTATATGCCTACCCCCCTCCTGGCCGCGTCGGCTGTGTTCAAAGCAAGGACGAGCACGTGATAATAACTTTTTGGTCAACCATTATATAACCAGGCATTCAGAAAGTTGCTTATCTTTCATACTTGCAGACCGAACACGCTAAGCATATCACCTTCGAGTTCCTAAGGAATATACATAGCCTGAAAAAACAACTACCAATTTTGAGTCGCCTAATTTTTCACTTAGTTATAATAAAATTTAACTAAACTAACCTGGTACGAATTTGCCCCAGATCTTCGCGGCAGGTAAGATTGTGAACGGTAACGCCCAGAACCAAGTAAATGCAATTAGAAGTGCCGCTTGAATCTTGTTTATCCTTCCGTCTAGGGGGCAAGAAATAGTCCTGAAATAATATTACGATATTAACATTTCTTTAAGAAAGTTTTGTAATACGGTTTGTATATTACTCTACAATCTCTGCTGTGTTGCCCAGGCAGACCTGGTAATAGTCGTACCTGAGTATAATATCCTCGAGGAATACTTGACTTGCCAACACTGGAGGGCAGATGTTATGACCATATAACATGGATCATTACCATCTCGAGGGTGCCATAATGGAATTACAATTCGAGCAACCGGTTCATCGGCCCATCGGCTTATTAAATTCGACACAAAGGTAAATTTAAAAAATCAAAAAACCCGACTGCTTAATTATACTTCAAATAAAAACTGAAAAGAAAAAAACAAGTCCAGTAGTATATAATTCTGTTAATAAGGAACAAAGCTACTTTAACAGTCGGGACCCACTGTTGAAAAATATATTGTATTCTTGAATATTTAATGGGTCCCGACTGTTAAAGTAGCTTTGTTCCTTATTAACAGAATTATAGACTACTGGACTTGCTTTTTTCTTTTCAGTTTTTATTTGAAGTATAATTAAGCAGTCGGGTTTTTTGATTTTTTAAATTTACCTTTTTTTCCGTCTTATGTGACACTTATTGCTATATATTGGCCAATTCACTCAATAACTACATAAATTATTATATATATGTAATTATCATATATGAGCTATATTACTGTTAAGTTTCATTAAAATCCATTAAGTATCTTTTTGGTGAAAGAGTAACAAAGATCCATATAAACGTAAAATTGAAATTAAAAGCGTAAGTGGTTAATATACAACTTTAAAGCGTTGTAGATCCTAAACAATCATGTAAAATGAAAAATGGTGTTAGGAACCTAAACATGATTTTTGATTATCTAGACATTGATACCCCACTCGACATATTTTGTCAACTTTTTTTTTTTACTTCGTCGCAATATGGCGCCTAATTTTGCCCATATTGAATTTTGATGACTATCATATCTTTAGTAGCACTCCCATGATTGAGACGAATCGATTGATGTATGAATCATCAAAATCGGTCCAGGCGTTTGGTCTCTAGTGTGCCACAAAGGAACAAACATATATAGACTGTTAAACACATAACCCCGTCTGCGCGTCGCGCTTCGCGCTCTTGCATTGCGCAGCCGGGTAAAAACCGATCACAGGTAAAATATCGAGGTTTTTATGAGTGTTATTGCTAAATTCCTGTCCAAATACTTGAGTGCATCCAGTACTACGACTAACTAGATCAATAGATAGAGAAACTGCCATAATCAAATCCATTCTTACTACATATTTGATCCCTTGCAGGGTTGACAGAGCTACTGTAGTACAATAGAATACGACTTACATGTACCCAAGAACCATTTCTCCCATAGCTACACCGATACATTTAGATATACAGTTGAGTGTGTACGTTATATTTGGGCTTGAGTATTTAGCTAATTTGGGAGCATTAATAATGTCATCTTGGATGGTGTCATTTTGCCCATTGATAAAGTTTTAATGAATTTATTATCTGTATGGGAAAGCTATGTACCTGAAGAAAATGTTAGGACTTTTGCAGCTACGTAAAAGAAGGTCAAACTTACTTGTATCTGTCAAAGGCTATGACAGCATTAGTAATGGCGCCCCCTATCCCTGAGAGCGACCCCAGGATGGCGTAAATGTCACATCCGAGCTGGTAGCCGAGCATCCGCTGGTGGAACGAGTTCATGATGAGCAGCGGCATTTCCAACATCATCATCACGTCGAACACCGCCAGGTTTATCACGAACATGTTGCTGGCACTCCGGAGAGACTTTGATCTGAAATAGAAGAACTAATGTGATGTTGGAGAAAATGATAATGTGGATGACTGTGGAGCTAAAAACTTAGATTTTCGCGATCGCGATGAGGGCGACCTTAAAAATCAAAATCAAAAATCATTTATATAAGCACTTGTGAAGGTTAAGAAGCTACGCCATCTGATCATCTTAGGTTGTCGTATATATCGCATCCGAGCTGGTAGCCGAGCAGCCGTTCGTGGAAGTAGTCCATGTTGAGCCGCGGCATCTCCAGCATCATCATCACGTCGAACACTGCTAGGTTTATCAAGAATATTTTGCTGGCACTCCGTAAATTGATGTACCAGGCCTTTTAGAAAGTTTTGCGAAAAAAACTTTTTATCTTTAAGACACTGGCCACTTGTAATTATTTTTAAAACTTCGAGTAAATTTCACTTCGCATTTTTTCGAGAGTCAATTAAATTTTTTTCTTGTCTCATTAAAAAATGGATCCGCATCGAGAACATTTTTGTGCAATGATTTTTTACGAATTTAAATGTGGCTTAACCTAATGAGTCATTTGATCGATTTCGAACTGCTTTTATGGATGAAGGACCTTCTAAAACAACCATCTACCGCTGGTGTAGCGAGTTCAAACGCGTTCATCTTACTTTGGGGGATGAACAAAGGAGTGGTCGTCCTACGACGGCTGTCACCGAAGAAAGTATGCTGGCAGTAAAAAAAATAATTCTAGAAAACAGACAAATTACGTACGAAGAGATTCAGCATACTCTGCAGATTGGTTCAGGAATAGTTCACAAGATTTTGCACGAGCACCTTTGCGTAATGAATATGAGCGTAATAATAAATAATTTATAATAGATGAACTATTGTAATATTGTAGAAATGATAATGTAATTAGTATAAGAGTTAAAAACTTCGTTTTCCATGCCCGCAACTTAAATTCCTGAGAGCGAGCCTAGGTTGGCGTATATGGGTTTGCGTATTAGCTGATAGCTGAGCAGCCGCTGGTGGAACGAGTTCATGATGAGCAGCGGCATCTCCGACATCCTCATGAGGTCGAACACCGATAGTTCTATCACAAACTTATTGCAGACACTCCGGAGAGACTGATCTGAACAAAATCAGCTAGTGTGATGAGATAGAAATAATGATGTGTATAGCTGGGAAGTTAAAAACGTAGATTTTCGCGATCACTACTAACTTCGTGGTAACCTGATTCGACCAGGTGACGCCTTTTGAGGGTCCATTAAATTTTTAAACGGTAATGATATGTACACACACACTCCCATATTTTTGGCCAATCATAAAATATAACTTATTAGCATAATTTTGAAGAATTTCATCTTATTCCGCTATTGGTGTTTCGACGAAAAGTTGTTCTTACTCCATGTATGATTAGTTACTCCATGTTTCATCTCTGTCTGTTGAATGACAAATGGCATTTGAGTGACATGAACAAAAAAGCTTATTCCTTGTTTATTAATAAGGATATCGGCATTAAGATTATTTAAGACTATTGTGAAAAAAGGTAAGATAGAGTCAACAAGAGAGGGGTACAAGGTAAAAAGTGAAACTCATGGGTAGAAATTTTAAAATAAGTAGATTATAGTATTTGCCGACTAACCGACTAGCCGACTAATCGGTTTTCGAATTGCCGACTAGCCGGCCGACTATTCTGCAATGCCGATCATTCTAATACCTATCTTAGGAAGGTGTTCGGAATATTTCGTCACTACTCGGCTTGCTCGCGCACGACACGAGTCTCCCAAATCGAACCGAAATATTCATGCTCCAAGATCACAATTTGCTTCTAAGGAAAAATCCTATGGACTACTTTAAGACCCGCTAGCACTTAAGATTTTACTCAATTAATACATACCTGCTGGAAGTAATTCCCATTGCTATTTTGTTATGTGAGATATTCATTGTCTATCTATGTCTATATATCTGAATTACTGGCATATTTTAAAGTTCCTAATTCTTATTATGTTACCTTTATTTTTAAATATTTTAAGACTGTAGGTAACTTTAAATACATACTCTAGGTACTTTTTAAATATTCAAAACAAGCATAAGTTTTGTGTTATATTTCATTGTTATATGCCGATTATAATCGGCATGTTTTGCCGAATAATCGCTGACTATAAACGATGCCGAATAGTCGTCCTTGCCGACTAGTCGGCGGCTAGTCAGCCCATCTCTAGTAATAAGACAATGAAAAGTGAGTTGCTTTGCCGATATAGTTCAGAATAATTATATTCATACATTGCTAAAGATTGCTACAAAGTATCTATTTCATATACGATACTATCAACTTTGAAAAATACTGTAGGTACAAGTGTTTTTAAAGTTCCTCTAATTGTTTTGGATTCTATGATGTTTTACCCAAATATTTCATTACATCTTATATCAGAAATCTTTGAAAGTGTGATAAGAACACAAGTTCTTTCAAGTATGAGCCGTTTGATGGAAAGGGATCTTGTTTTACAACTCTTACTTACTTATTTAATTTAATTATTCAATTCTGAGTATTGTGTAAAGCTCAATAATTTGAGTGAAAATTTCAATTTACTCCTGTTTGGGTTAATAGCCTTTTCAACCGCTTGATATTAATATAGAATTGTTGAATATTTATTGAAAAGCAGATTCCATACATAAGTAGATAGTTGTTCAAAAATTTTGGCCCAGAACCCATTTGACGTTTAAATTAAATATACAATACAATTTCCGTTATTATTATTTTTTAAATCTTTGTTCAAATCTGTATTAAAGAGACCGACAGACGGACCCTGCGTTTAGCATCGTAAATAAGAACTTTGATTTTTTCTGAGTTCCACCAGAAAATTAATCTTTAGTGTTATCAGGCCAAAGGAATATTTTTTTGGCAGATATTATTTCAATTCGATTCGATTTAAAATAAAAAAATGATTATATAACATTAAATGGTTTCTGACACATAATACCTACACGTAGCATTCAAATAGTTTATGTAGCTGATTTTAAAATTATGAAAGTATATATAATACTATGCTATCGAACACGAGGAAGTAGTTGCGCCTTTCATAAAGCGGCTAAGATAAATAAGATCCGAGCATAAAAATATTATGTTCACTTCCAACACTGGAAGTGTTTTTCATCAGGCGGGAAAGGGGAACTTTTTCCGCTAGACATGCGAAAAGAGAAGGTTTATTTCTGTCCAATCATATATTATACCTCTTTCGTGAAATCTTCAACTCTCCAATAGTTTTTATAAAAAAAAGAGTGACGATTTGGCTGCAATCACAAGTCATGGCCGTCTGTTGTTTTTTTTTTGCTGCGTGTGTCTCCGCCATTTAGCCTGGGTGCATCCATACGGTTAGCATTGAAAAGTTTTTTCGTTCGCTCCAGTAAGCCCCCATTTTCGCTGAAAGTGCGACTCGCCCGTGATACCCCGAGGTTTAGGGCCACGAGGGCGTATAAGGGCTCAAAAGATGCGGAATTTGAAAGGATTTAAGAAAATGTAATTTTTTTTTTGGAAAAGTCAAAATATTTTATGGAAATCGAAAAAAACCGACTTTTTTCGAAAAATCGTGTGTCGTGCGATATCACGAGAACGAAGCCGAATTTCTAAAGTATGAAAAAATGGATCTAGGTATTGAACCAAGGACTACATTAGGTCATTACACTTTTTTCGATATTGGTGACGGTTGAGGCTGTAGAGGTGCCAATAGCCGCGAGTTGAGGTGTGAGGTGCGCGTATCACGTGGCTGGCGGCTCGCGTGCGTCCACGAGGACGTTTGAGAGCTCAAAAGACGCGGAATTTGAAGGGCTTTATGATGGTGTAAAACTACTTGAAAAAGTTGGTTTAGAAAAAAATCATAAATTTTTTTGATTCTTGTTTTTTACTCGAACAAAAATTTGCACTTTAAGGTTTAATATTTCACAAACGGATCTGTAAATCGAAAAATCGTCATCGTCTTAGCAATCCTTCAGTCCTTTTAAAGGACCTATTCGACGATACACCACAAGATGGGGTAAAAAAAATCACCCCCACTTTACATGTAGGGGAGCTACCCTAAAAAAAAGAAAACTATTTCCCAAATTTATATGGGACCAGCTTTGGAGTATATCCTTTCCAATAATTATCATAATCGGACTAAACTGTCAAAAGTTATGCGTGATCATAAAAAAAAATACAAAATGCCGGTGACGGCGTTTTGTGGTTGAGGCCGGTGGCCCGTGTGGGGCGACACTTAGGTTTTATTCATTTCTGACCAGAAATTCTCCGCGCGGGAGAATTTCCGAACTGAAAGTCAGTTATTATTCATTCTGAAAAAATAACGAATAGTGTGCGCCTTGTTGAACATTTTAGATATAAGAATATATATATATATATATTCGAGTCTCCGAATCTGAATTCCGGATCAGGAAACCGTCCGAGTGCGGCCAGGCTAAAGAGCTGAAGAATGGTCGGAGTACTTCACAAGGTGCAAGGTTATGTTATTCTGCCGCGCTCGAATAAATCCAAAAATCGTGAGCGCTATAATAGTAGGAGAACCCAACCTTTTTTTTCCTCTAGGAAATGCCTTAAGTATCCTTCAACCACCGGAGGAGCGAGGAGAAGGTATGTGGGATTCCTCCTTGTTCAGTTCAGCCAGCCTTTTTAGGAGAGCCCAACCTAGGGCCTAGGCTAGGCTAATTGGTGTGAGTGTTGGGAATATTTATTATATCTAAAGAAAATGTAACTAGAAAAAATTCCACGCGGACCAGGCAGCAGACGGGACTCGAACCCACACCCTTCGCAATCCGGGCGAATGCACTGACCAATTATGCTACCGCGGCCCTCACGGACCGCGTCGAAATTCCTCTTAGCCATTCTTAAGCTGCAAGGCAGCGCCATCTCTTCGCATTATAGGTAACCCACAATGTCAAATGAATACTCTTACGAGTATTAAACATTTGAAAGAAGAAATAGCAATTATAGTTATAATTTAAATTTTTAAAGCATGTAACTGCTTGATGTTTAAATCTAAAGAAAATGTAACTAGAAAAAATTCCACGCGGACCAGGCAGCAGACGGGACTCGAACCCGCACCCTTCGCAATCCGGGCGAATGCACTGACCAATTATGCTACCGCGGCCCTCACGGACCGCGTCGAAATTCCTCTTAGCCATTCTTAAGCTGCAAGGCAGCGCCATCTCTTCGCATTATAGGTAACCCACAATGTCAAATGAATACTCTTACGAGTATTAAACATTTGAAAGAAGAAATAGCAATTATAGTTATAATTTAAATTTAAATGCCTTGCAGCTTAAGAATGGCTAAGAGGAATTTCGACGCGGTCCGTGGGGGCCGCGGTAGCATAATTGGTCAGTGCATTCGCCCGGATTGCGAAGGGTGCGGGTTCGAGTCCCGTCTGCTGCCTGGTCCGCGTGGAATTTTTTCTAGTTACATTTTCTTTAGATTTAAACATCAAGCAGTTACATGCTTTAAAAATTTAAATTATAAATATTTATTATAGTTTATTTATTTTATCGTATTACTGGCTGCATCGAATAACTCGTAATGAAATTATGCTTTTATTATAATTGAAAATAAATACTTTACAGACAATATTTTTTCATAAGCTAAACATCATTTCATAATGATTTTACACAGAGGGAGAGGTTCGATTTCTGTTTTTTTTATATCAACATCATTCAGGAATGAATCGAAGGAATGGAATTCGAAGAATACCTACTTACTAAATGCTAGAATTTCAAAAATAAAGCGATAATTTGAATTTTGTTTTCGGTAACGGTACGACGGTATTCGATGGAGAACATAATCACTGATGTGTGAAACGGAACGGTGATGCTAAACGGTTTAGGGACATGAGTTGAGGCCCAAGCGCGAAATATTGACAGCGCCGTATAATATCGCATCGTCATAGCTTCCATGAAAACTAAGTATCTGACGTAAGAACAAACTAGCTTTTTCCAAAGTCCTTCGCGCTCTAGGCGACCTTGCATTACTAAGATGCTTGAGCTTCCTAAAAGTAATGACATTTCCTATTTGAATTCCTCTTCTTTTAGGGCTGCACAGCTGTGGAATAAGCTTCCGTCTAATATTCAGAAATTTCCGACCATCTTCTCGTTTAAGTCTACAGTTAAAGGTCATTTTCTTTAATGAATCTTCCTCACGAAGTATCTTGTTTCGTATATTTGGATAGGTATTGTATTTATCTATGTATATTTATGCAAGTTTATTTATGTAGGTATATATATGTATTATGTAATATACAGGGTTACAGGGAAAGTCGTACTGAATATTGAAGGACGTTATTATTCAGGTCATTTCTGATGGATTTGGTCGTATAATATGGTGTCCAAAACTTAACCGTTATGGAGATATTGGATATTAAAGATTTTGAGATTGAAAACCAAAAAATATAGGATTTTTTAAAAAAATCTTTAATATCCAATATCTCCATAACGGTTAAGTTTCGGACACCATATTATAATACCAAATCCATCAGAAAAGACCTGAATAATAACGTTCTTTAATATTCAGTACGACTTTCCCTGTAACCCTGTATATAACTATAGTAGTAATAAATTATTTTTAGCTTAATTTTTATTGCACTTTCTGTTTTCCGCTTAGTTTGGAATCTCCGACTCCACCACCTAGGTTGGCTGTAAGAGATCTCTTTTAGAGATAAGCCCACTTTTGCTAACTTTGTATTTGACTTTCTGTTTTGAACTATATGATGCAAAAAGAGTATAATATAAAATCTGACGATAACGATACGTTAAGGAGCTGTCTAAAATTCGTGCTTGGGCCCTCGTACATTAATCTATCAATTCTACATGATCACAAATGAGAAACAAAACCAGTAATGATAATCCTATCCTTGAAACATTAGTTAGCTATAAGTGTAGCTGATTGACATCAAGCCACTCGCTGGCGAACTCGCGAGTTTGTCCTCGTCCTCGAGGAGTTCACTCAAACGATCTGTTCGCGTCCTTGTACGTCTAGAAACTTAATTAAATCACCGCCGCGAGCAGTCAAAAACACTCGAGTCGATCGTCAAATTGTTCCACGTTATTAACTCGGCTCGTTGCTGGGAGCCGAGCCGACTGGATGGCGCTCGAAATGCGGTGGTTTCCCGAAAGCTTTGTTTGCGCTCGACTGAATCTCGCGGATGTCGGTTGATAAACGTTTGAGCCTTCACTAAGATTATTTTTTTTTTGTAGATACGACGCTGAGGTTTGGTTTTTAATTTTTTTCAGTGTTCTACGATTATAGTTTTGAGAATATTTGCTGGAGAATATGTGGCCACTTCGACTTGTATGGAAAACCTCCGATGACCTACCCCTATACTACCTCTAGACCTTTTAAACTAATTCTATATTAAATAACTGGAGACCTACGTCCTCATATCGGGCGACCTGTTCCGGAGTATTGTCTAGTTTTTGGCCTGTAGGGTCCCGCTCATTTTACTGAATAATAATAATAATCATTTATTTCGGATAACAATGGATCCATTGTGGGTTAGTAACAAACAGATTATACTTAAAAACTAATGTTAGTCAATAAACATATACAGCTTGAATAAATAAATAAATATTTGAAACACCGATGTCACCCCACGATGCTCCAGCCTTTACTGTCTGAATGCACTCATCAGTCGTATCCTGCGAGCTAGCATCGGAGAGTCCCACCGTTCAGCCAGTACCCTCAGGATGGTGTAAGGGCTGCCGCGCACACGCCCAAGTAGCGAGGCGCAGCACTTCATGATGGCCGCGAAACCATCTGTATGTGCCTCGGCAAACATGCCGGATGCACTGCAGTGACGCGGCAGCTCCATCAACACCCTGAACGCGTTATTATATTGTATTCGAAGGCAGCTATATACTCCCTGTGTATACTTCACCCACAGACCGCATGTATAGAAAGATTAGCAGAATGCTTTAAAGAGTGCTATTTTAACAGGCTTGGTACATTTTACGAATCTGCGGGCTAACATATTACAGCGGACAGACAGCGACCTCAGTTCCGTCTCAATATCACAATAGGGATCATGACTATTTTTTTTTTCTTCCTTTATCAGGTAAATTATCAAAAAGTATTGGACACGTATTTTTTCTTTTTTCACATAATATAAACATTGCAGAGTTATATTGATTTGAAAAGTCGCATGACGTCACGTTTGAGTACACTTATAAGGGAAAATTCACTCAAAAGTGACGTCACGAGCCCCTACTCCCAAACTTTGACGCGCTATAACTTTGTCATTTTTTGGTTGATTGCCCAAAGAAAAAATACGTGTCCATTATTTTTTGATCATCTAACTGACGGACTAAATGGAATTTCGTTTACTGTACCTCGTCATCACCCCTATTGTCATTTAAATCTTCTGTTATCCAGTGACCCAAGTACTTAAAGCGTTCAACTTTTTTCTACTTGACAACCGATACCTGCACTGCCAAGTTCAGCAAGCAGCTTGTTCATGTACAAATTGAACAACGTTGGCGAGCTTAATCCTCCCAGTCTTACTGAGCTGAGCCAAGGAGCTGGACGTAATGAGCATGGATGGTCTCGCATATCTTCGTGTTGGGATTAGCAGGGATGTGGTCAGGAATGACTTCAAAGATCATTTAGACATGAGAAAAGGTATATAGTTTGAACTTGCCTGCCAAAGATCCATATGACGGTGTCGTTGCCCATGAGTGATGTGAACAGCAGCATGGTGTAGATGAGCGCCAGTGCTCGTGTACTAAGTAATTACTGTTTCACAATATAACTTGATGATATCGATGGTGAGAGCTATTTCGAGCTCGGTGTTTCTCTACGTAATCGAAACAGAAATGGGGAAATCCGTAGAAGAACCAGAATAACCGAAATAGCTCAACGGATACCCAAGCCGTAGCGGCAATGGGCCGGACATATAGTTCGGCAGGCAGATGAACGCTAGGGTCCCAAAAAGTTGTTTCAATGGCGATATCACACTGGGAAGCGCAGTGTAGGTAAACCCCTCACCAAGTGAACTAAAGACATTAAGTGAGACTGGATGCGGAAAGCGCAGAACAATGTGTGTGGAAATACCTTGAGAAGGACTATGTGCAGCGGACGCAACGGCTGATAATAATAATAAAAAATATGGTTTAAACTCACGTGCCAAAGATCCATATGACGATGCCGTTGCCTGTGAGCGAGGTGACCATCAGCATGGTGTAGATCAGAGCCAGACAGTAGTGCCAGTATTTGCTGACGGCGGGGAAGTTGCGCCAGTGCTCGTGTACCAGGTCCTGATGCTCCTCGGGGATGTTCCAGCCGAGCATGTGTTCCACCACCTCCTGAGATACCCTGAGTACATTGGAATAATACTTTATTTGCATGTAGGCAGGACAGCACAGAACTCATAGACAAATGGAATCGGTTTCGGTGCAAGCAAGACACTATGGAATACATAGAATAGTGGAATCGGGCGCTCAAATCCGCGTTGCCTAAATTGGGAGCGAACGCGCATTATATACATTTATATGTTGACGATGCAGAGAACACCTATAGAACAGTGATTACGATTTTGCGGAATCAGCAGACCCGATAAAATAATAAAAATTGTATGGTCTGATAAGCCCACTACACGTATAAGCAATGCGTCATCATTTCTTATAATCTGTGCTTCTTTCCTTGTATAATAATAATAATTGTTTATTCCAGGCATAAAAAACCCAATAAAAAGTCATATACAAAATTAAAAAAAAGTAAAAGTGTAAACAAAATAATAATAAAAAATAAAATAAAATCATAAAAGCATAAAAGACAGTAAAAGTCAAACAGGTATAATATTACCTACGTCATTTTCGGTTCTCACTCTGGTGCACTGAAATCCAGTATTTGAATAAAGGATTATCAAGTCCTTTGCATACAGTTTTGATTATGCTGTTATCAGAAAGACATATTCGTGACCAAAAAGAGGCTATACGTCTTCTCATAACAGCATAAAAGTCTGATATACGAGCATCTGAAAACATGCCCGACGCGCTACAGTATCTCGGTAGTCTCATAAGAATACGAAAAGCATCATTGTATTGCACTCTTATGGAACGGTACGAGCTACGATTAAAGTCAACCCATAGCTGGCAAGTATAAAAACATTGACAGTATAGGTTAAACAACATGAATTTAACCTCATCACAACATTTACCAAATTTTCGCGCGAGCATATTGCACCTCACCGATAATGCCCGCCTCTCTCGCTCAATATCGAGATCGTCCCTTCCGTTCTCTGTAAGGATGTGCCCGAGATACCTAAATTGCTGTACAACCCGAAGCACCGAACCATTCAACCATACATCAGGTACGTTCTCCGGACCCCGTCCCGCCTTGAAGATCATAACTTCTGTCTTTGCAACATTGTATTTCAACCCGTGAGCATTAGCATAATGTTCACAGATCGAAACAAGTTTACCGAGACCTCTGATTGAGGGGCTGAGGAGCACCATATCGTCTGCATAGCTTATATTATTTACACATACATCGCCAATATGACAACCGATACCAGTGCCCCTCAGCTCACCAATCAGATCATTAATATATAAATTGAAGAAGTCCGGAGAAGTCAACCCCCCTTGGCGTACCCCGCACTCTAGCTTATAGCTGCTAGAAGTCGTGTCGCCCCATCTCACACTATTAGTTTGATTACCGTACCAGTATTCGAACAGTGCTACAACTTCTTGGTGAACATTAGCGTGGCGCAGTTTTCTCCAGAGAACTTCATAGTTCACAAGATCAAATGCGCGGCTCAGATCAAGAAAACATGCGTACACAGACGTTTTACGGCGTCTGTAGTAGTCAACAGCATGTTTTACAGTCAATATAGCTGAATCTGTAGAGAGACCGGCACGGAAACCAAACTGGGCGTCGTCAATCTCAATGTTTCTCGAAACCTCGGGCTGCACAAGTCGTTCGAGAACCTTACCTATTACAGTCCCCAGAGATATTGGGCGGTAATTGTTGGACGCGCTCACATCCCCCGTTCTATTTTTAATAATTGGAACTATTATCGTTTTCATTAAATTATTTGGGAGATACGAGTACTTGAGACACATATTAAATAACTTAGAGAGCTTAGAGCAAAGCATACCGCCTGCGTGTAATAAATGCTCAATGCTCAGCTCGTCATGACCTGGTGATTTACCTCGCGCCATAGAGGTTATAACTTTAACCACGTCTTCCTCACTAAAGCGAATGGTAGTTTTCGGACAGACAGCTACCCTACCAGACTTGTTCGAAGTGGGCAAGCATGAAACAGGCAAGGGAGCAGTTTTAAAATTTTCAGCAAATAAACTAGCTATCTGGACCTTATTCTGCAAGCCGTCGACGCTAACTGGTAAGTTTTGCTTTATGTTCATTTTCTTTATGTTAATAATAATATCACAAATTTAGCAAAGCACATTTTTTTTTATTTAAACGATAATTGTATTTTTACCTAGGTTTGGTTGTTATAACCCAGACTCAATAATTGATTACATTTATGAGGGGCTAAGGGGAAAAACAGGCTTAGATATATTTCTCTAAAATGGATTTTTTGGAATCTATGGTCACAAAAATACTCATTTTATCTTAAGGCTATCACAAAAAAGGGTAAATCTTGTTGTATCTGATTTTTTTACCTACTTCTTTCGTAGACTGTTGGGTTCTTTAATGTAATATCAGTTATTTTTTGTTATTGTGCATTTTGATTCAAAAAATTATTACATGTTCTTGTAGTAGTAAACTATTAAATTTACTTTTAAATCATCTGTTTGTATATAAGCAAATTTTCTGAGTCAATCATAAAATGCTGTCGTAACTTTAAATGCTTGTACTGTAAAATTTTAAGATAATTAATGTGACTTACCTGTTTTTCCACTTAGCCCTTCATCTATGCTTTTGTAATTTAATACTCTAACAATAGATGTTCTTAAAAATATACGATTTACCTTTTTTAAAGGATTACTCGAAACAAATCGTAAAAAATCTAATTTTAACGGGAAACATATCATAATTTCGATATGAAATATTAATTAAAGTGAGTTTTTAAAAAGAATAAAGAAGGTTAGAGAGAATGTGAAAGTGCCTATCGTAACTCTATCAACAAAGAGCATTTTAATTTTATTCATAAACCTCCATTGCACATAAAATTTGTTTACAGATGACTCAATGAGGCAACTTGAAAAACTCCCGAGCGAGCGGAGCGAGCAATATAAAAATAAGAAACCGGCCAAGTGCGTGTCGTACCACGCGTTGTGTAGGGTTCCGTAGTTGCCTGTCGTTACCAAAATATATTTATCTCAATTAAATTACCTAAATCATAGTCAAACTGCATATCAATAATAATAATAATAAATATTCTTTATTGCACACAACAAAGGACACAAGACATAAACAAATAAAACAGAAGAAAGAGTACAATAGGCGGCCTTATTGTTAAACAGCAATCTCCTCCAGGCAACCTTTGGCGGAAGAGGAATAATAATATAGATAAATATAGAGGGATGCAAAAGTAAATACAGGAGATAATCCTAACATAAATATTTAAGAAACGGAAAGGAAATAGCTTTTAACTTGATCGCTAAAGGAATTAAGTGAACGAGCCTTTCTGATTCCTTCAGGGAGAGAATTCCACAGCCGAGCAGCGTGCACAGAAAAGGAATAAGAAAAGAAGTCAGAAGAGTGACAGGGAATTTCAAGAAGAAGGTTGGAAGTTAAATTTCAAGAAGAAACTTAAGATCGCAGCGAGAGTAGAGAAGAAGATGATAGAAAAGAGAAACACTGCTTAAGATAAGGCGGAGAAGATGGCAGGAAAAGTACAGAATAGAGGACCGTGAGAGTGTGTAAATCCCTGCACCGGCGAATAGGGAGCCAATTGAGTTTACTACGGAAGTGAGACACGTGGTCGAATTTTCAGAGATTATAAATGAATCTGATACAAACATTTTGCAGTCGCTCTAATTTATTGAGAAGTTCCTACGACAGATCAGTGTACACAGCGATAGACAGCAAGAGAGAATTTGCCAAGTTGATTTTGGTACTGATCGGCAAAAAGTTACGCAAGCGGCTAAGGGAACCATACGCAGCAAATACCTTTTTTCTGACTGCCTCCACATGCGGTTTCCAGGAGAAACTCTTTTCAAAGACAACACCCAGGTTTCCGACGGTTTCTGAGTAGGGAATAATAGAACCGTTCAAAATAATAGTAGGCAATTGATCAAAGTCGATCCTAGAAATAAAATAAGGACTACCAATTATGACCGATTGAGTCATTTCAGGATTTAAGGTTAGACCAAATGACCCACTCCAACTACTTACAAGCGACAAATTTGCGTTGATAATCGAAATTGCGTTAAAGAGGTCAGATAAAGGGGCCTGAGTGTATATTTGGAGGTCATCAGCATAAAGGTGATATGAACATGAAAGCGACAGTGCGATAGAATTTATAAAAATAGAAAATAGGAGAGGAGATAGGACGCCACCCTGAGGAACACCGGCAATGATATCACACCAAGAAGACAAGGTGTTATCAATACGGATACGCTGCCGGCAGCCTAGCAGGTAACTTCGAAACCACTCAATTGCGGATGGAGATATGCTAAGTGAACCTAAAATGCCTAGAAGGATGTCAAAGTCGACTGAGTTGAAGGCGTTGCTAAAATCAAGCAGCTTCAACAACGTAAGTTGCCGATTGTCCATTCCTCTGCGGATGTCGTCCGAAATTTTAATCAATGCGGTAGTAGTGCTGTGTCCCCTACGAAAGCCAGACTGAAAAGAGTTGAGGAGGTGGTTCGAAATAAGAAAAGCCGTAAGCTGCCAGGATATTAATTTTTCAAGGACCTTAGATAAAAATGGGACAATGGATATGGGACGGTATTCCGAAAAAGAGGCAGGATTGGATTTTTTGGGGAGAGGAATGACATTGCCATCTTTCCAGGAAGAAGGAAAAACTCCAGTAGAGACTGAAGTATTAAGAATAGTTGTGATCACAGGAATCATGATATCTAAAATAGGAAGGATCATTTTGCGGCTGATTGAATCACTGCCTATCGCACTGGAGTTAATGGACAAGATAGTTCTCTTAACATCACATTCCGCAAATTTATATATGACAGAGGGAGGATCAAGAGTTGGCAGACTAAAAAGATGACGTAAGGTTAATCGCTTACGGTTCTCATCCATGGAGATAGTAGAGGAAATTTTTTTTGAAAGAGTTTTTAATAGCGCGATTCAGAACCCTTGGTCTACCGTTGGTTACCGCAAGTGGTAGCCAGTGTTGCCACCTTGGTGGTTTTTCCGCCAGAACTGTTGCTTTTTCACGGCTTCTAGTGGTATATTTTTATCATCTAGCGGGTAATTTTTTTAGTGGTTTTTTAATATGAAATCTAGCAACATATTTTTAAGGGGGAAATGCCCTAACTTTCCGAAATTTCATAATGTTCCATGTGGTTACTCACAGTTATTTCTGTAGCATCTCATACATATTCACTGGTTTTTTATTTAAATTAGGGTTTTTTGTTATCAGAGATATAATTGTAATTTAGCGGATTTTGGTGTATTTTATTAAATCCAAATTTTTGAAATCTGGCGATTATTTACCTTTGACTTGGCGCCTTAAAAAAATCTAAGGTGGCAACACTGGTGGTAGCTTTTTAAACTATTTGGAACAATTAATGATGTTTGATGGTGGTTTTTAAAAAGATTTTTTAGATTTTCTTTTTCAATATAAGGTTTTACGCTACAATAACTTCATCTATGTTACTATTAATGTTTTCTTTTAAGGAACTTTCTTCAAAGTTGAACAGCTATTACTCTTAAACTAACAAATCTATCTGAACAGTTACAATTTTCCCTAAAATTTCATGAAAAGCGCTATTATCATTATTTCTTCCCGGTTTTTCAAGCCGATAGTTTAGCTTTTAGAGGGGGGGATTCCTACTCGAACGAAAATTTGCACTTTAAAGTTCAATGAAAAAAAAAACATCCCAGGAGCAGCACAAAAATTTTTTTATTAATATTTTATTCTACCATTTTGTCACTGTGATTGATAAATGTACATGTCTGCACAAAAATACATTTCTCTATTGCTAACAGTCTACAAGCAAAACCGGGGACGGATAGACAGACGGACATGACGAAACTATAAGGGTTCCTTGTCAGGACTACAGAACCTTAAAACACATTAAAAAGTTTAACTTGTTATTCTTTGGAAAAGTTGAGGCGAGGCAACCATTGAATTCATTTAAAGGCCCAGATAAATCGTGAATTTGCGTAAGTAGATAAGTATTAAAATATACGTACATTTTCAAAGGGTACGCCACGGGCCCAATGCCGAAGTTTGTGTAATTTTCCGCCATTTTGTGCGTGTTATAACAAAATGGCGCCGGAACAATCTGTTTGCGGTCACAAACACTACCGTGTCATGGGTTGACTGATTTTATTCGATGTGAATATTTATAAAGTTGAAGTTACTTATTGACGAAGTGAGTAGTTCGACATAGCAGTCGCTTCTCACTTGTGCCTGATTGATAGAGGGGATTGCTTTTATACGGGTCGAAATAGTGCGTGCTTGTTAATTCCTTAATTCAATAATATTGTTAAGCTTCTTATATATTTGGTCAAGCGTGAGCGGATCGCTGCCACGAGTTCTCAATCTGTACGCCGATTTCAATCTGTGATTTTATTTTATCAAACAGTTACTTAATGGCGAAACCTCGGTTTTGGTCGTTATTTGGCCCGGGAGAGAAAGATAGATTCTAAATTCACCAGCAAACTACATTGAGCTTGCAGCTTTTTACTGTTAATATATCATTATTGTTTCTGGGGCACAAACACGAGTTTCTGACAGATCCGTTGTCGTCAAATTTTGTATGATAGGAGTTAGATTATTCTTACGCCATATGCTTAGTTTTAATAGAAACTTTGACGATGTGATACCATTATGGAGCTGTCAAAGTTCGTGCTTAGGGCTCTGAACAATTTCGATCCAAACTTAATTTTGAGTTTCGGTGTTATTTGCAGAGTTTGGTAAGGTTTCCTTTTTACTTTCCAAAATTTTAACAGAGCCTTGAATAATTAATAGAGCCTGTGGGAGAAGTGTTTCTGATTGTAGGTAGTGGAATAGAGGCTGCAGAATCATATAGCATCAGAAAACCGAGAAAATAAAATTAATGAAAAAAGATGTGCTGTAAAATCTCTATAATCCTACTTCCTTCTAATATAATAAATGTAAAAGTTTGTACCTATGTTTGTTACTTAATTACTCAAAACTACCATGTACCTTATTTTCGCGAATTTCAGTTATTCCGTGATCATGGCGCTTGCAACAGTGCCGAAGTATCGGAAAGTCGCTAAAAACAAGGTACATGGTAACAATCCCGTAAATAACATAAATTATTATAATGTTAGTGACCACGACAGTTTAAAACAATAACTCTGATTATTTTTGCAATCAAATCGTGATTTCATCTTAGGCATACTAACTGGTCCTCACAAAATATTATGTGGTGTTGGCGACATAACTACATAAATACTTGTTTCTTAGGTTTTCACGCACATCACTTATTAAATAAAAATAGTTTTTCACGGGTTAATGCACGAAACTTTATTTATTTATTGACGTATCGCAGCCTTTACAGGATGCTTCGTCAGAATCAATTTTTTATTTGAAGCCTGCCTGTAAGGGCTGCGAAACGTCAATAAATAAATAAAGTTTCGTGCATTAACCCGTGAAAAACTAGTTTTATACATAAATACTTTTTTTCAGGGATTGCTTTAATAAATTATCTATTCTGAAAATATGTCCTCCTCAGCTCGCTCTTGACTGCTGAAACAGCTATTTGTAATGAAGAATATTTATTACTGCTTCTTTAAGCTTACGCTTACAATATTATTAACGGATTTAGAATACTTTTAGACACACGTTTTTAGTACGTGTATATATGTATATGTATGTGTGTTCGTTTTAAAACATATATATCCCCTTGTGATTATCTATTAATCTTTGTAAACGAGAACAGTGTACAGACAAAAAGGTGTAGACGTGCATAAAGTCAATGCATTTTGCAGACACACTTAATTCGATGCATTTATAGGGTTTCATGAAAATGGGGAATAACATACTTTTAGTAGGAAATTATTTACAATAAAAAAAATCCTAACTAGACCTAAGTATGTAGGTGTTTTGCAATTATTTGTTAAAATTCACTTTTTTCTTGTTATTAGTAGTTTCCATGCTTTTTGTATTATTTGTTACTTTTGGAGGTGCAGGGGCTTAAGGTAAAAGAAAGATAATGGTACAGAGGCGGAAAGACGGGCGGAGAAACGAAAAGAAGATTAATTACAGCGATCATAAAATAAAACCACTTTTTTATTTTTAACGGATCTTTTAAGGTCCTGTTAAAAAAATATTAAGCGTGCCTCGTGTAGAACGAAGGTGAGTCTGACTATAAAATTTTTACTCGTCCATTCCACCATTGGCGAAGATAATGTTGCTGGTCAAATAACATCTTTCAATCGACACAAACACAAAAGTCATTTAATTTTAAAGGGAGTAAGAACAGGGATCGACCCGCCTGATGGATAGCCGCACAGAACACAGAAACAGGTTAGAAGGGCCTTATGGGCGAGGCAGGGCCACAGTTATGTTAAAACTCGGTTCTGATTGCGTCATTTCTCTCGGGTGTGAGCGCTGATTGGTTCGATTGTTTAATGACGCGTCGTTTGACTGGCTATTATCTATTAGGGGCAAGTATAGTGGAGGCGAGCCGGCGACATCGATTCAAACGTTCTAAGACCTCCCAACTAACCTCTTTCTGTTATGTAGTTAGCCACTACCATAGCCAACCCTAAACGCTATACGATAACTGAAAGAAATGTGTTCGGGTCACATCACCTAATACTGATTTTTATGAATTTAATTGTTTTTAACATTCGTGGTCACTAACATTATAGTATTTTTTTTACTTATTACTTCAGTTACTCCGTGATCATGATCGTGATGGTGATCATTACATCATCATCTTATATAGAGATATATGACACTGTTATGAGAGCATTACAGTGCCGAAATATCGGAGACTCGCTAAAAACAAGTTACATTGTAGCAATCCCGTAAATGGGCGACGGTGATCACTTACCATCAGGTGAGCCGTCTGCTCGTATGCCGTCTATAACATAAAAAATAAAAATAGCATAAATTACTATAATTGAGTGTTAAGGTTGACAGAATTCTTCAGGGTAAGGAAGGGGGTTCCCATCCTCTGTTGCACCAGCCACATTTGTTCCCTATTCCACTGATATTTAATATCATCCCGGATCTTAGCCAATGAGGTGGATTTTAGCATCTTAAACTTACTATATCCGGGGTCTACCACGCTACTTGATATTAAGTTATTATAATTTATAACAGATTGCGAGCCCATAATTTAGTTAAAGTTCATAGTACTTAATATTCACATTATACATTTTTAATTCGCGACACAAAAATCAATAAATATGGGTTCACCATAGTTACTTGGTACTCGAACCCACACTATACACTGCCAAAGTCATTTGTCCTCTATAAGAAACCAAGTCATCAATAAAGGTTCATAACTGGAAGTTGAACTATAGAATGGTCAAATCTTATAAATGTTTGTATGCAAGGGTCCGCTGCTGAGATTGGCGCGGTGTCTCCGCTGATCTCCGCATCACAACGGAGACGTGCACAGAATTCCGGTCATATTCTACATAACTATTCGGTAGAGCTGCACGGGTAATCGATGTGAAGCTCGTAAAAGAGGTCCTTAATTTAAAAAAGGAAGGACCTTATTACCATGGAAGTAAGAAAATAAGAGGATTAACTTTTGATATGAAGTTCATATTACGTTTGAAACTTGTATTGGTTATTGTTGGTTACTATAATTTAAAATCAAGCTTTGACTGTTTAATTTAATTCTCAATATTATTTTAGGTATCACTCACACACACCGCGGAACGTTGAACTAACTCGTGACAACGTGACATGACATCACACTTATTCGTGCGTGCAGCTGGTGTTCATCGATTTATAATATATTACCACGTTAATAAACGTAGATCCTACATAATGCAAACTCTTTAGTCTTCCTGGGAAGCTTGGTCTGCCAGCGTTAGCTACTGTTGTCCCTATCTTACGGTATTTACCAATGCGCGTGAGCAATCGCTTTTTCCAATACCTATTTCTCAAATGTCCTCTAATTTATGGCTTTTGATCTAATAGGACGACTGTCATCAAAGATGTGGCGGCATGATTCAGAAAAGTGAACATCGTCAGTAATTTGTAATAGTTCAGTTAGAGCTATACCAACATACATTGTTCGGTTATCATGCACATACCAATTTCTTTCGATTCTGTTTAAATCGCAGTTAAAAGTGCGTCGCAATTATTATAATCTCATAATTAATGTATACCTAAATGAATGCGGTTTTTACCTGTCAATGTTCTTACATCGAAGTGTTACAAATAAATAAACATATCTCTCTAAGTTTAATAAAGAAAGATTTTAACACGACGAATGATAAAAACCTCTTTGAAAATTATTGCGGCGCTAAAATAATAGTGCCTTTTGTACTAGATATTCTTTTCATTTCTCCATTTGCATAAAAGGACTGCATCTGCAATTACTTAGGCTTGAAACTGGGTTGTTTAGATAAATTAATGACGATATTACTGTTACTTTTATTTACATAAATTATTTAAAAAAAATCTTCATCTATACTTTTATTAAAACTTGATATTTCGACATGAATTCGTGTGAAATAGGTCGTTCTACAATTATTTATTGATCAAATTAACAAAATGTATGACACATCTTTTAAAAAAAGATAAAAAATTGTCAAAAGATCTTTTCTGATAAATTTTAACGGAACTAGGGAGAGCATAGCTATTCCATAAGTAATTTAAAACGTTAAACAAGGGCGTGCGCGTAAATACAAGAATGGTTAAAATTTTTGTTTATAAAGTTTCGTACATATATTTGGTCCATTATCAACACTGTATTGTTGGTGTGAGCAAAGAGCCCTTCTATCCCTTCGTGACCACAAAGAGGTCGGTTGCGGGGTATTTGAGAATCGTTTCGCTCGGTGTAACTCTGGAATCGTTTGGGCTGCGATTTGGGATTCCTCGGAACTGCTTTACGAATTATTTTTGCCAGACTTATTTAAGTCGCTTTGTTTTGTAATGTTTTTTTAATATCTAAATCAAATCTATTCCTTTCCTATTCTCTCCTCCATTTTAGGACGATAATCTCTTCCTGGGTAGCAATTTGATATCTAAATCAAATCTATTCCTATCCTGTTCTCTCCTTCTTTTTAGGACGATAATCTCTTCCTGGGTAGCAATTTTATATCTAAATCAAATCTATTCCTATCCTGTACTCTCCCTCTTTTTAGGAAGATAATCTCTTCCTGGTTGGCTTTTCGCCTAAATCTATTCAGCCGTTAGAGATCGATATATTCCACAGTAAGATGTGGTAGCCAATCTTTGTTAT